ATGTCCTTCAACAATCAATGGACAGTCTTGATACACATGATCTAACCTCATACTATGTCCTAACGGGTTAGACACTAGTATAGGTTGTTCTAAGTTTTCTTTCATTACGTCAGCCTTGTCAGGCATAGGCACGCAGATATAAGATAACGTTGATCCAGGGTCTATCAACACATGCATGACAGAATCAAATAAGGAAAACATACCCTGAATGATGTCAGGGTTTTCCTTAGCTCGTGCCTTCATTGCATAAGTACGAGCAGGAGCTTGTCCCTGTTGCTGACTCTGGTTCTTGGCCGGATTAGATCCCGCCGTTGATCGTTGACTTGGTGCAGGTCGTGCTGATGCTGATTGGCTGACAACTAGGGCTGTCGTACATGGTTTGCCAGGATTAGTGGGGCAATCCCTTCGAAAATGTCCAGGTTTGCCGCAACTTAGACATAATCCTTGGACAAGCCAACACTCGCCTGGATGATGTCTCCCACATGTATCGCACAATGGGTGTTTCCACCCTCTTGATTTGTTTTCCGACGCCACAGAGTGCGTCTGCATCGATTTCCCCTTCTTTGAGAAGTGTGAATTGCTAGATTCCTGGAAGGGCCTTTTTCCTTTTGAGATAGAGCTGATGGGACGGTGAGTGCTTGAACTGACATTATTTGTCTTCAGATACTCAATGCAAGCACTCAAGTCGCTGTCTGCCTTGGCTATGAGATCATAGGCCTCCGCGAAATCCACGGTGGTTAGGACGAACACACGCGACCTAAGGTCAGGTCTCAGTTTCTTCCTGAATTCCTCGATGCGATCGGTTGGGGTACTCACCATGGTTGGTGCAAACTTAGCAAGACTAGTAAACTTCTGACGATACTCGGGGAGTGTCATGTCTCCCTGTTGCAATTGGACAAATTCCTTACGTTTTTCTTCACTAAAACATTTTGGAATATATTCTTGTTTGAATGCCCATTCGAAATGTGTCCATGTCCATGGCTTAGGGGTTCCTGCACTCTCATCAGTCCTCTTCCACCACTCGTAGGCTTCCTTGCGAAGCAGCTAAGACGCCAGTCGGGGATAGTTGCCAATGGGTACGTTAAGATCTTCCAACACTCGAGCAGTCTGCTCGATCCAGTCCCATGCAATTTGGGGTTCACCGATGCGATCCCCAAGGAATAATTCTGCACCGTTATCCCTTAATGTTTTGTAGGTTATTACTCGCGGTGGCGGTGGTGGAGGTGGTTGAAACATTGGTGCGTTGGCTATCTGTTGTAATACATTTGCCAGGAATGTGGGAATCACAAGGTTGGGTTGACCATCAGCGTTCGGGTTATTCCCAACATTTTGTTGATTGACGGGTTCATTTTGGACGGGAGGGGTAAAGCTAGATGCTTCAGTATGAACACTGACGTGTTCATTATTGTTGCCTTGTCCGTGGGCAGATTCTTGACTCATTCTACAATAACAGAAATTCCTTTATTAGGATTTTTTTATTCAGTAGTTGAGTTTAAGACAGGAATTGCAAAGGGTTACAACAGTTGATACAATCAATGGATTTGAAACCAACAATAAGATAATTTTCTAAGCGTTTGCGTTCGATTGGTTGGATCGTGCCGAATCTACAGACGGGTCTTCTTTGCCCGACCCACATACACTACTGGCAGAGTCTATGCTGAACGTCTCTTCTGGGTCATCTCGTTCCCATGTAGCCTTGCGGCGCAGATAAATCCTTCGTTTCATTATTCTTGCGAATCGATGTGCACGTTGGTAACGTATCAACGAGTCATAGACATTTCGTTTGTTCTTTCGTCTTTTACCAAGTACGAAAGTGCGACTTGAATCAACACTTGATATTATTTCCGAATTAACAGTTGACCTCTATAAAATTTGATACAATCAATTTCAATACTCATCATTTTTTTTATTACCTTCTTGGAGCAGAGGGATGCGAGAGTCGTGGATTTGATTGACATCATTTTTTTCTTGGCCGAAATACATATATAGTATGTAAAATATATATATATATTTTATCCAAGTTTTGATCCGAAGATCGGATTTAAAACCATTTGCTCCGATACCAAATTGTAACACCCTTATCCGTCGAGGTTTACAGCCCCTTCCGAACTAAAGTATTAACTTGGTAATCGTATAATTTAAAACATTTCAAATAACTTTATTCATCATAAATAAAATTCCAAACATAATTGTAGTAAATACGGAGTGTTTAATGCGGAAGCGATTTTTAAACATGACTCATAACAACATAAGCATTTATTTTCTCAATAAATCCACTACGACTGTCTCGCCCCTTCCGCTGC